ATAATAAAAAATAAAAATATTTTAAAAAATACACTTATTTATTTTTAAACATGTCCTTATTAGTTATTTACTGTTAAACAACAATCGCTAACTATTATATAACCAAACAATTATATTTATCGAATCCACTATTTACCATCCGCTACCCACTTTCCGCTATCTGCCATCCGCTATTTGCTAACTGCCACTTGCTACCCGCTATCGCTATCCGCTATCGCTATCCGTTATCGCTATCCGCTATCGCTATCCGCTATCGCTATCCGCTACCCGTTATCCACTATCCGTTGAATTTTAACCGCTGTACCAAACAGGCCCTAAATCTTCCTAATCAAAAGCTATTGGGCTCTCTGGCTCCTTGATAAAGTCATTGCATCATACAAATCATTGCATCCACCACCACTGTTATTCGGTGCAATTTAACTACAAAACATCAAACTCTTAAAATTAACTCTTTAATTTTAGGGTGAATTCTTTTAGTTTTAGTGAGTGATTGAGATAGTGCATGCTACAAAAAAATGATAAGTATAATATGCTAGAACAAAGTGTCGTTATCTGTTGGTGCAATGGCACTTACGGAAAGCTAAGAATAAGACATATGTTGAGCAATCGTTGGTTGATCACCAACAGGTACTTAACTGAATTAATTTGACGATCCATGAACATTGTAATGCCCCATGTGTGGATTTATTTGATCCCACTTCAACCATGGTGGGGAGGAACTAACGCTCTGTGGGTTGGGCAAACTTCGCCTATTTGGGTTTTGTCTCCATTATGATTGATCTTTTGCTTTATTGAAGACGATTCAGATTAAGAAATTCTTCTATTCAACAAGTTAGCAAGTCAAGAATATCCCAATTTAATAATGTAGTGATAACTATGTCTATAATTGAATAGATTAATTTATTATAATTTACTAATCAATTTATTACAAATAAAAAACAACACTTGTCACTATATTACTGAATGGTTAACTTAACATTGTCACATTTTAAATCTTCTAACGAATCTTTTCATGAAAGCCTAATATAATATGTTGTTTAAAGCGACAAAACTCTTTCACGAGAGACATAGAAGTTTGTGTAGATATTATGTTATTTTATTTTCTTCTCTTTTTTGAATTTTTAATCACAGTTTCTTTTTCAATTAGGGCTTCTTTCATTCTCTGAGTTTCTAATGGAGACATAGAAGCATGATGGCAAGGACTCTGGACCTTAAGCAGAGGCACGTCCATATTTCTAACAGCATTCCAGTTCAGGCTATAAAAGGCCTTGGCCGTTGAAAGTAAACCCTGCCCCTCTTTGAAACCAATTTAGGGCAAAAATATGACATAAGGACCCGAACTTACACCAAATTCACAATTTCGGACCCAAACTTTGATTGCGCTCAATGAAGGTCCCGAACTCCACCAAATTCTCAAATAAGGACCCAATTGGACGTAAAATTAACTTCCGTTAAATCTCCTGTTATTCCGTTAATGTTCCGTCACACTTCATACCCGCTACTTGAAAAAAATTGATTAAATTCTAATTTTGGTCCCTCAACTTCATTAAATTGCACTTTTTTGTCCCTCAACTTCATTTAAATTTCACTTTTTGTCCCTTAATTTGATTAAATTGCACTTTCTTATCCTTCAACTTTATTAAGTTATACTTTTTTGGTCTTTAAACTATTTTTTGC